AAGACTGAGGACTAAATACACACATGAGGTGATCAGGGGAAGTGGAGACACATGAGGACACAGCTGACTGGAATTATAAATAATATAATTACAGCACAGGGGAGAGTAAACCTAAATGCAGTGAACAAAGAACACCAGACCCTTTCAAAATAAAACAGGAAACCCAGAGACATGAAGATAAATCACGACATGAACTTAACATAACCACACAGACATGAAACATGACAGGTAGACGCACGAATCAGGGAGACTGAGTACAGGGAGAGATGACAGAAACAACTAAGAAATGAAGGACTAAATAGCCACCTAGAAATTAACTCGATCAAACATGGATACACAAATACATAAAACTCAAACACTGGGTCACACGACCGAGCCCATGACATATCCATCCATATCATACCTTCTTATCTGACAGCCCTGACACCGTGTCGATGTACTCCTCCTGGATCATGAAGGCAGCCAGGTTGGCAGTGTAGGAGGCCAGGAAGATGACAGCAAAGAAGGCCCACACCAGCACCTGAAGGTAGAATGTGGTGGAGGAAGATCAATGAGGACTGAGCCTGACAGGTGTGAAAGTATTTTAGGATCCCGGTGACTCTATTTCCACTCCCTGGCAATTCGTCGCTAAACTCACAGCTCTGAAACTCTGTCTTGCCTGGAGGGCCGGTTCATACTTCCCAGCGTGGCATTTCTGCCTCCTAAAGCTGCAACCCAGGAATCTGTCGCACAATTAAATGAACTTAAATTGTAAATAATATTAAACTAGTTGCATATTTTTAAATATGGGAAGAAAGAAAATCAATTTTTTTACATCATCACGTCCATCACAGTGGATAGAAAAATACCTTCTGCCCACCTTAAAATTCATTTAACACCACTGATGCAAATATGCTTGTTGAATCAAAGCACTTAGTTAAGTATTTAAGCACAATTTTGAAATACATAATTTAAGTAATTAATTATATTTAAAAGGTTAAAAGTTATTTAATATTGCATCTCCACAAAGGAGGGAAACTTGGTGAGATATGTTATGTTCAGTGCTTTGTATAATTCAAGCTTCAAGCGCTACATCCTTCATCATTCAAGAAGCTGAACTGCTATTTCATTCACATAGCCTTTAGCTCAGAAAACAGATGGTGCAAATTTATTCCAGGCTTGGGCTGACTGCCTGTTAGCCTATAGCTATTTGATTGGTTATTTGCTACATAATCGTGTTTTTCTTGCACAGATACTCGTTGGCAGAAATTAATATTTTATTGTTAAAGACGTGATCAGATGTATTCAGCATAAACAAAATGGATTATCTTTTGCAGCACAAATAAAAAAAAACAACTTCCATTTGAAGAAGAAGAAAGATTCGAGAACGGCCTGGAGACTCAAGTACAAAACTGTGGCTGACTGATTTGTTTTAATAGTTTTTGGAGAAACGCAAACATAAGGTGAGAAATCGAAAATTGTTAAAAAAGGAAAAAAAGCATCC